TATGGTTCCCAGGCGAAAATTTAACATTAATGAAAAATTTTTTCAAAAATTATACAAATAATGCAACATCATGGGAACCAGGGTCATAAAAAACGCATTGGGGATATGGTATACATTATACAAGGAAACAAATTTACACACAAACGGCACATTAACCAGTTGAAGAAAAGAAAGACCGACGAATCTGAAGTAATTCCACAAGAAGACGAATTACAATGAATTGTTTGATACGTTTGACCTGCAAATACCGCAGACTGAGCAGAAACAACGAGATCTGCAAGAAAACGTAAAAGCGACACAAAAATTTAATAATAGACCCGAAAAGGAAAAAATATTAATTTTTTTTTCTTTCTCCCCACAATGAAAAAGAAAAAAAAAAAACAATTTTAGCAGGGGGGTGTTGGGGCGCACCCACCTTCTAACTAGTAATGGACTGGTCCCTCTTATATAAGTCAGCTCTGGAGAGAGAGTGGGGGAGCGTCAGAGAGAGAGTCAGCGTGAGCAGTCCAGATAAGCTTACCCGGTACATACCGTTGGACTATAGACTTTGGATATTGTTTCGTACTAACCAACCTTCGTTCTACTAATACCAGTATTTTCCTCTACAACTGTGTTTGTCTTGATTCATACACCGACACGCGGGAAACTCACAACATCTCAACACTTACGAAGCAGCCCGGATCTACATTCAACATTCAGCGCATTGAGATCTAAGCAGGAGCGGCCTCAGGGTGTAGGCACACCCAGAACCCCGCGGGGGAGGCCATGCGATGGATGCGGAAGACGGCACACCCCAATGGGTTGAAAGGACGGAAGAACTGTCCGGCGAAAAACACTCCAATGCCAAAACTGTGGGGTGGTGGGCCACCTCAAAGAGGTGTGTCGAAAACCAAAAATGGAGCCCGCCAAGGAATCAGCAAGTAGTTCCAGAGAAACCAGTCAAGAGTGCTGAGCGTAAAAAAAATATAATAAAAACAGGGCTTACCAGGCATACCACACCTCAAATGGAGTAAGGGCGAATTCAGAGGAGCCCTCCAGAACCACCACCATCCCTGGAAATTGAAGTCTCATTAATACCAGAGGCGCACGCCAAATTTGGACGAATCCTGAATGATAGGGCTTATCACCGACACACCGTATTCTACGCTGTCGCAGACACCGTGCCCAGACGTGTTCAAGTGGTCCGGAAATTTTAAAAAATATTGGGATGCACCAACGACATTCTCATACCAACCAGGCATAGGATACGTTGGGATCACGGACGACCAACTAAGGATTAAAGGTATAGTCTTTATGCGAATCAAGGTTGGCCCTAAAGAAACCAGACAGGTTGTTTATGTGTCAGAGAACACATCAGGGTTTTACCTATCTGAGGCGGTGTTGAAAGACTTAGAACTGATTCCCAATAATTTTCCAAGTCAAATATCGAAAGCCAACAGTTTGACTACGGATGGCGAGAAGGCACCATGTGGGTGCCCCTGGAGAACAAATATCCCGGACAAACCCTCTAGGATACCATTTACACCTAGTGAAAGCAACAGAGACTATTTGGAACGATGGTTACGGGAACACTTTAAATCTAGCGCATTCAATACCTGTCCCCATCAACCATTACAGGTGATGACTGGCAGGCCACTGGATATAACGCTCACCCGAGGACGCAAAGCTCTCGGCTGTACACGCCCCATACCTGTCCCTCATCATTGGAAGAAGAGGGTAAAAGAAGACCTCGACCGAGACGTCACATTGGGCATTATAGAACCAGTACCGCAGGCACTCCTACCCTTTGGTGTTCGAGATGGTGGTCGCACCAAAAAGGATGGGTCACCCAGGAGAACAGTAGATCTACAGAAATTAAATGCGGCGACAATGAGAGAAACCCATCACATTCTCCATCCCGCTCAACCAAGTATCCGTTGTACCTGCTTGAACGAAAAAGACAGTTCTAGACGCATGGAATGGGTACCATAGTTTACTGCTTTCTCCAGCGGCGCGAGATGCAACCACGCTTATAACGGAGTAATGGTCGTATCGGTACCTCAGGGCACCTCAAGGGTTCCACGATCTGGGGACGGATACACCCGCCGATTTGATGACATCACTGTGGATACACCCCAATTACTTCGCTGCCGATGATACGCTTCTATGGGACGGAACCATGGAATCGGGCCTTCTGGCATACGCTGGACTATATCACCCACTGCGCAGGAATGGAATTGTCTTCAACCCTGATAAATTCCAGTTTGCAGGCGACGAAGTCGAATTTGCTGGCTTTTTAATAACGGGCCGACAGCATAAAAACCGACTAAAAAATGACCGGTTATACTTTAAATTCTCGACTCCCACCAACATCACGGGTGTTAGGTCCTGGTTTGGACTGGTTAACCAAGTTTCAGACGCTGCTTCGCAAGCTGAGATTATGGCCCCTTGCGAGAGTTATTACGCACGAAAGACCGCAAGTTCTATTGGGATGCCACCCTAGACAATATTTTCGAGGAATCAAAAGAAACATCGCTCGGAAGATTGAGGAGGGGGTAAAAAATATTTGAAATGAACAGGGCGACGTGCCTCTCGACTGATTACAGCAAAACTGGCATCGGCTATTTTCTTTTCAAAAACACTGCAAATGCCCAACAGAATCAGGCCCCAACTGTGGTGAGAACCATTGGAGAATAATATTGGCTGGGTCCCGATTTACAAAGGATGCGGAGTCTCGCTACTCTCCAGTAGAAGGGGAGGCTTTAGCTTTAATATACGGACTAGAATCCTGTAGAATGTTTGTATTGGGATGCCCAGACCTGTTGGTCACAGTGGATCACCAGCCACTGGTGAAAATATTTTCGATCAAGTCCTTGAAAATATAAAAGAACCCCGCCTGTTTGCTTTCAAGGAGCGGTCCTTGATGTACAAGTTCAATTAAACACGTTTCAGGAAAGCTTAACGCTGCACCAGACTGCACCTCCAGATACCCGCCTCACCAGTAAACAGCGAAGAAGCTACCATTGATGGCATTCAGCGGATCGATCGTGCTATACAGGCATCAATCATAGCAGCCCACGCGACACGACCCTAAGCTGCAAGCTATAACCTGGGAGAGAATTGTGGCGGCCACAGCTACTGACGAGGAATGCCAAACGCCATGGTATATACAGGATGGATTCCCAAAAGTTACGCTATGAACTACCGTCAAAAAATCCGCCAATTTTTGGCCAATGGTAAACGAATTGTACTCCCTGGAGGGGGTACCCATAAAAGGGAGTAAAATTCTAATACCGAAGCAGCTTAGAGCAGAGGTTCTGGAAGCGTTACACTCCGCACACCAAGGCGTGAATGGGATGATGGCCAACGTGAGACAGCACCTATTTTGGCCCGCTTTAGATGCCAGCATCAGACAAACGAGGGCACAGTGCCGGAAATGCAATTCTATTGCGCCGTCCCAACCCAGAGAACCGCTGATGCCACCTTCAACCCGAATTCTTCCAAAAGACGGTCACAGACCTGTTTGACATGCATGGAAAAAGCTATATGGTGTACGCGAACCGGTACACTGGCTGGATCGGCGGGCCCCACTTCTTTCGGGAAAGCAACAGCAATATGTGATGCGCTAAGGAGTTGGTTTTGTACGTGACGTTCGCCTGAGGAAATATCATCGGACGGGGACCACCATTCGACTCTATGGCATATGATTCATTCCTGAAAGATTGGGGTGTAAAAAACGCATGTCATCCGCACACTATCCGCAGTGCTAATGGTCGAGCCGAGCTGGCCGTAAAAAAACAGCCAAAGAACACTGATGGACTGTGTCGATGGGTATGGTCACTTACGCCATGATCGGGCGGCGCGTGCAATGATGTCACACAGAACACACCTCATCAGGACCTTGGCTTGTCGCCAGCAGAAATGTTGTACGGTCGACCAATAAAAGACCTCCTTCCCTTACTCCATGAAAAGTACCAGATCCACAAACGGTGGAGGGAGACAAAGTAGTCGAGAGAAAGAGCGATGGCAAAGAGGCACCTGCTAAATCAAAAGCAGTACAATACGCACAGCCACCCACTCCAAGAGAGCTTCAGGTTGGTGAATCTGTGCAGGTACAAAATCAGGAAGGGCCATATCCAAGGCGATGGACGAAAACGGGAGGGTCGCCGAGATCATGGGCAACAGACAGTACCGCATACGATTGGATGGCAGTGGCAGAATTACACTACGTAATCGTTTATTTATCCGGAAAATCTTCCCGGTAGTAGATATACCTGACTATTCGCCCAACAATCAACCCCACAACCACCCCAACAGAGACCGAGGACAATTAGTATTGAACCCCCGAGGGACATACCGAAAATGATGGAGGTAGATGTGACTGATGATGAGGTGATAGCGGACCAGGACCACACAGATATGGAAGTGGAGGAAAACCAACACCATCAAGCCCTATTTTACGGGGCGGCACGAGAGTTACACGGCCGCCAAGACCATTGTCCCCTACAAATGCGGGGTCCAATGCATGAGTACTGGAGCTATCCAGACAAGTGACCACAAAATCTAGGTATTGTGGTCATAGGAGGGGGGGACATGTAGAGATACAGGAAGACCGTTGACACGGGGACGCCAATTGGAGAACACCTGTAGTCCTCGGGCCAGTATAAATACGGCTAGAATATCGAGTCAAAAAAGGCTGACTTGGCTTTTATCGAGTCAACTGTACATAAGTGAAGTTGGGAGAAATCAATTTAACAATTATTCCACTAAAAATACTAGAAATTTTTAACGAGAAATAAGAATTTTTAAAGAATAAAAATGAGTTGGTATAGAAACAACATTACTGCAAATACAAAGAGAAGCAGACACATAGAGAATATTGTATTGTGCGTACATATACATTTGCTCATTGCCAACTGCATGTGAGAAAAACAACTACAAACTTGATGCAGTAGTGTTCCCTAATTTGGCTTCCATATGATGATATGCAAAAAAATAGGAAGAAAAAAATTTATACGTACAGTAAAGTCACATCCAAATGCAGAATAGTGACAATTCATTTGTTGATTGGTGCATTTATTCAAATGTTCAGTAAACTGGAATATAAAAGGTTTTGAGAATTTTATTTGGTGTCAAAAACTGATTCCCCACAATAAGTTATTGCTTTGAAAGCTTATAGCAATTACACCCAATAAAGAACGTGAATTATTTTAAAGATTTGATATAAAAGTAATTTATCAGTTAATGTAATAAAAGGGAATAAAGCCTAACGATTCTGCTTGATAAAATAAAGTATTTCATTTACAAAGCAGATTTAATACAAGGAGTTTAATTTGCTTGTTAATATATTGCTTATTATTTGTTTAGCATTCATATTGAGTAGACTTTCAATTGTGTAAATGTTCTACTGTAATAGTAAAACATGAGAATTCTGATCAAAATCAGAAAGTAAAGAAGTTTAAGGATTTCATAAATATTTAAATGCCACCAATTCTGAGCTTGAAAAGAGAGTGAGTGAACAGCCATATGTTTGTTAAAGAAATCATGCATAGCTTACTAAAAATGAGGATGGTATTTTTATTAATTGCCTTTTAGTAAACTGATTAAAGTTGTGTGTGTGTGTGTATATATATATATATATATATATATTACTTTTTAAATACTTGATCACCCCTACTTCCCCACAAAAAAGAAAGAAAAAAATTAACCACCCAACAAAATATTAAAATAAAAAAAAAACTCAGTCATCAGAGAAATTTTCTATGTTGTGTGTTTGCAACAGGATGACAGAGTTTGAATTTATGCTGTCTTTATTTATGGCAGAGTACTTCAAGTAAAGAAAGTACACAGTGTAGTAGTTATCAGCACAGAAAGTGAGATTGGCATAGTTCAAATTTCAACTGAGATCATTACATTCACTTTTACAAATATGCTTGGAAAGGCATGAATCTATCTATCCTCACCAGCTAGGGATTAACAGCTGGGCTCTCTAGCTTTGTCTAGATGGAAAACTGAATCCAAAAACCAGCCTAATAAAGATGGGCTCCATCAGGTTAACTTGCCCTGGACACACAGTTGCATGTTGTGCTCCTAATGGTCCTAATGGATTACAGGACTTGTGCCATGACAACTTCAAGTAAAATGCCAGAGTCAGTTTGGTCATTAAAAAACCTTGAATTTTTAAATACACTTACTGATTCCTCTCTTAATAAAATAGTCTTGTTACAATTGGAACAAATCATCTTCTGAAATGGACATTCACTGAGATGAGACTGTATCTGTTGTCGATCACCAACAAAAGAGCAGTCCTCATTTGCACACTTAGATGGTTGAAATGTACAAGAATTGAGATGTTTTGGATCATTCTGCAAATAAACAATTTTCATGTTAGTTGAACTGTTAAGGACTTTTGTTGAAATGAATTGAATATGAAGACATCAATATTATGTATTTTTTTTTTAAAAAATCCACAAATGATGAGTACAGTAGATATAATAGCAATTGTGTGAAAATAATAAAAATAATTTAGATTATTTTGGATTTTTAGAAAATAATAAAAATGTTCTGCTAGAATTTGTTAATAAAACAAAACAAGATAGTCCCCTTGCAGTCTGAGGTATCTATTGTTATATCATTACTAGGAAAACAGAAAACAATTTTTGGAGGAGAATTTCTAACAAAAAATAAGTTATTTCCTTGCAAGATTAGCTTTGTAAAGTTTGTTACAATAATTTGTGAAGTTGGTTAATTTAACAACATATTGACCCTTGTTGAATATAGGACAAAAATGATAATGAATTAACTGAAAGGTAGACATATAGCCAAATGGTTAGAACATTCACATTCTAACCATGAAATCTGGGTTCAAATCTCACCATGGTCAATTTGTCAGAAAGATTACTACTTGATGCCGTAGGTCTTGGCAGGTAATCTCAGTGAGTAGCACATTTAGAAAGTGTCTGAAAACAAAATATCATGAGTTGATCCAAGCCTTATGAGTGAAAATGGGTAGAAGAACTATTCAGAGATCATCAATGGTTGTTCTAGCATTGTGACCAAGGGTTTGGGGGTACTGACCTTGTTCAAATTGTTCATCATGCCAGATAATGGGCTCTTTCCTAGAAATCATAACTAATTTTCACCTAATGTAGTTGGGCTATGTGGGTGTTGAACAAGCACAAAATGTGCCAGAGCAAACGTCTGCAACAGGGATTGGCTAGCAACTCTAGCAAAATAGTATTTTCGTTATTATTATGCACATTAGACACAGTTCCAGTTTGAATTTGATCCAAAAGGTAAACATTGCCCGGGTTTATTTCACTTAGAAGGTAGCCTTTTTTCTTTGTTATTGTTATTGTTGGTGGTGGTGGGGGTGTCTGCTTGAGATTTAGTCAACAGAGAAAATATTAAAATGTACTCGTTTCAATTTCAGGGAATGACTGCTACCCCAATCCCTAAATTTAAAGACAAATCCTACAGATGTATGTTTGGATTTCTTACTAGCCAATAAAAATGGATAATTCTGTCTTACCTACACATTTTTTTCCTTCTTTGAAGTCAGAAGGCTATATAACCACTTTATCCCTTTTGCAGGTGAACACTATTTTGTGAAATTTAATTTGTTACTGTCTTTTTATAGTTGCTTTCCTTTGCCTTGCATTACATTGTCTTGTATTGTCCTGTGCTTCACCTTCCTCTTATTATTATTGAGAATTTGGTTAATTCTACTTAACCATGCCTGTTTCATCAACAAATGAGCTTTCCTGACTGTGTCCAGAGTTACAAATAAAAAGATCAATCAGTTTAACTTCTTTGAAGTGCAACTGATTGTACACTCTCTGAAGAACACAAGATTACTTTTTAATAACTTCTGTCAGTAGCAAAGGTATGATTTTTAACACAAGTAATGGTTACCACAATTACTTACCAATAATTATCATTTGAAATCTATCTTTCTGCCTCATGGCACATATAGCCTCCTTAGAACATCTTTTATTTTTCCTGTTCACAGCTGCCATTTGCACCTCACCCCATGATTGCTAGGCCATTGCTTCCCTGTCCTTCATAGTTTTTCACCATGTTGTTCTTGGTTTTTCCCTATCTCATTTTTCCTTCAGTGTCATGTTGCAGTTGTTGTTTAGATCTTGTCTTGAAGTATGATTAATGAACTTCTATCTTCATTGTCATACCTCGATACTAAAGAGTTCTATGGAGGCAAACTGGAGTAGTTCTGTCATCTTCACATGGTTTTGATATGTAATTTTGAGAATTATTCTTAGGCTGCTGTTATAAAATAGGTCAATAAGTTTGTCATCTTCCTCATTTATTTTCCAGATCATTAGAAATACAGGAGACCAAATAAAAAAAAAAAAACTGTTCAGTATCATTTGAAGATTTTTGTTGATTTGTTTAACAGACATTAAAAGTATATTTCATGTAATTCTTATGAAAACTTGTCTATTCATAATGACATTTTTCTTACCAATATAATAAAGTTCATTTTGTCACATCTTAAATCATGACTATAACTTTATAGCCATAATAGACTTTTGAAATTATAAAAAACAAATATAAAGAAAATATGCAGAGAATTTTAATAGTAATGTAAAATGATTTTAACTAAATTGTTTTCTTTTAACATTTTCTGATGGCACTTATGAAATTAAATACATTCATTTTTTTATGCTAAATTTACACTCAGTTATGGTGTCTTAAGTAGTAGAGTGATTTTCTAAAAATTTTTTTTTATTGAATTACTATACTGAAGGAATGTGAATATTTGTTATAGAGTGAAAGTTAGAAATTTCATCTCACAGATTATTACTAGTTAGTCTGATCATCAATGAGTGCCCCACTCCTATGACCATGTGTCAGACTAATGTTGACTAAAGAAAACATTAAGCATCAAATTTGGCAAGAATAATTTTTATGGTTAACAGTACAAAATTTAGCTTATTTCTCTTTGGTCTTATCAAAAACTTATTTCAAAAAGTGTTTGAACAGAGATTTATGGCGGACCTAATTCCTTTTGTTCCTATTTGATTGGTTGGTTGGTTTGTTTGTTTAATGGCATATCAACTCCTTATGGGTCATTTAATGGCGAAATTTAATTTTCTTGGGAGCTTTGATGTATTTTTTTTTTTTACTTTCATAACGTTCTGATCCCAGTTTGGAAGTTCACTATTTGGCCGCCATATCTGGGACCCTAATAGGTGCTACCACCTTAGGTTAGAGTGGACTCGGGAACAACAACAATTAGGAGGAGGTTCCACACTCCTCAAAACACCCTGATCAGAATCCTTGTTACCAGACGTAGTTTATCGTCATAGCCAGGATGGCTTCCTATTTGAAAGAAGTACATTGAGAAACGAGATGCAAGTGGAGGACATTTCTCCCATCATTAGATGATTGTATTGTCATCTAATAATATCAGGGTGATGTTAAAAAAATGGAATTGTAACTACACACTGAGCCTCTGTTTAGTTCTCTGTTGGGACATAAAATGTTATTTACATTGTTTGTAAAGTACATTCTTTGCATGCAGATTTTGGTACAGATGTCTAAAGCTTTATTTTGCTAATATCTGCTTTGTATGAGATTACAAAAAATTAAATGTACATCATCCTATTAAACCTGATAAAAAATAATTAAAAAATAGTTAAAAATAATAATTCTCATCAATCAAAAGAAAAGTTTTCCTTAAATATAACAAGGAAAATTACAGTAGGTTTTTGGAAATAATTTATGTTGAGTTTGCAAATAGAGAAGGTAAACAGGAAAAAATGCCCTTGTATTATGGATGGAGAGTAAATTCAAATCTAATTGCACCTACCAAAAATTCTTTCCATGACATTGTATGCTGGCAACCATACTTCTTGTTGGGGCAATAAACTTCCAAGTTAGTGATAGCCCTTCTTGCAGAGAAATCCTTACACATCTGTTAATATAAAAACAAACTTCAGTTGTTAGTAAAGAGGTATTATTACAACAAAGACATTAAATTTTCTTTTTCACTTTAAAGTAAGCAACAAAGAGAAAGTTAAAAAAAGAAAAAATATTTAGCCATGACCTGATTACGTCTGTCTTAGGTTTGCACTCATTGTTTAGCAAGCCATTAAATATTTTATCTCAATTATTATCCATAAAGCATTTTTATTGAGACACAGTATCATGTAGGTATCAGCTAATTAACACTAAAGCAACATATACTAGATAATAGGTGATTTATCAGAGGCAATATCCAAGGTAGTTAAGTACTATGGAAAGTACAATGTCAAGGCAACAAAAATATTTACTATTTGACTTACAACTGATGAATTAGCATTTTGCTGAAAATGCATTTCTATTTACTAGCATAGTATGTAACCCAGACAGTTTTCTGGATTTTGGGGTTATTTTTAGATTTTTGTTTGTTTTCCTGATACAACATCTTCCAAGTTTCAAGGCTAATACAAAAAATAAAAACAAACACTGATAGTTTATGTCACCAGGGCATATGGTAAGCCTATGTGTACCTGTTAACAAATTAGAATAGTAACTTTTTCTGACAAGTTAAATATCTTGCTGACAATCAGCAATCCAACAATCATTTTAGGATAGTAACTAGAGGAAAAGAAAACAGCAAATAATTACAATCAATCATGACATCATATGAATATATTTAGAAAAGAAAATCTATTCTTTGCTTTATTTTTTATTATGACTATATATTTTAAGAAGGGGTACAAAATTTAATGATTTTAAATAAAACGGGTATATTAAAATCAAAAAGGAAAGAATAACAAAAAACGTTTATAGTTACTGTAAAGAGATAAACCAAAAAAGGGTGAAGGAGAAAAGGAAAAAAAGCTTAACCAGTTTTCATTCTCTATCATCAAAGTCTTATTAATGTGCACAGCAAATAAAATAGAAAATACCAAAGACAGGATGTTATATATATTAAATATATAATCATCAAAGGCTGATAACATTCATGCCTAGATATTATTCCTACTTACAGAGGGAGAGATAGAAGGACTTAATATATATAGTTTCTAAGACATTTAGATACAAAATCCAATGATCCTTCCTCAGTACCAAGAACATACCTTGGTTATAGGACCAGGCACACTGATATTATAATGATTTTAATATGTTCATTTTTATTACAATTATTAATACATACATACATATATATATTATTTATGAAAGAGTGAAGAGGCTGGTGAACTGGAAGTTGTCTGTGACTAGACTATAAAGGCTAGGGAGTCACAGTGTGTTAAGTCATATATTATGAGAATAGTTGTAGGTGATGGATGGCACACAAGTCAATATCTAATCAGTATTGAAAAAGTCACCATGGAGATGGGGTATGATGTTTTAAGGCCTGAAATCCCTAATGATCCTTGGCTAAAAATATCAATGAAGATGTGCCAAAGCATCAAAAATATGTATTTCATGAAAATGTATATATACAGGGCATGGCAGAAATAACTCCTACATTTTAAACTGTCACCTGTGTGATGCTAGTAAACAGGCAAGTGGCAATGGTGTTTTCATCTAGCTAATGTCTTACCATTTTTTTTTCAGATACCATCAGTTACCATCATGACTTGGACCGATGTACACTAGGCATTTGCTGCCAACACATTTTTAAGACTGGTGAATCTGTAATTGCAACACAGAGAGCATTTTTTGCTCATTTCATGTTATATTCAAATGATGCTGTTCTGGATAGAAAATTAATACTGCTGTGGGTTGAAAACTTCAGAGCCACAAGTTCAGCACATAAAAGAAAGCCACCTGGAAGACACTGAAGTGCTTCAACTCCAGAAAATGTCCAGGCTGTGAGAGTCTGTTCTGCAATCTCCTACACATTCAACCTGTAAACATGAGGCTTTGGGATTATCTGATTGAACAGTCAGAAGAACTTTACACACCAATGGTTGATCAGGAACTGCAAGAACATAACTTGGAAAATTGCATTGTTTGATGTGATGATATCCTTCAAAATGTTTCTGGAAATGCTGTTCTTCTCACAATTGATAAAGCTCACTTTCATCTCTGTGTCAATAAGCAGGATTTTTACTACTGGGTGGAAAATAACCGTAACCAGCTTCATTAAAGACCTCTAAAGAGTGAATGAGTGACTGTGTAGTGCACAGTTGGGAAATTTGATGTATGGGCCCCTTACTTTTTGAAGAGGGAGTAACATCTGATTGATACGTGGAGATTCTGCAGACCTTTCTAGAACCAAAACTCAAAGACCTTTGCAGTCTGGATATGTGGTTTCAACAGGATGGAGCCACTGCACACACAGTGATCAGATCAATGGAAGCTTTGAGAGAAAGGTTTCCAGGGAATTTGATTTCTTTATGCCATTTTTATGACATTAAATGGCTTGCACACTTTCCCAATCTCACCCCTGCAATTATTTTCTCTGGGGTTATTTGAAAGCTGAGGTCTACAAACATCAACCAGCAACCATTGAAGAATTAAAGGATGTTCTTTGCAAAGAGGAGTAGAAATACCACCAGAAACTTTAGAAATCATCTACAACAGTGTATGGTAAATAGAGGCTATCATTTGAAGAATGTAATTTTTAAAACCAAATGAATAAAACTGTAACCCTTTGTTTAAATAACAGTGAAATAAATATTTTAATAGCAGAAAATGTGGAAGGTATTTCTGCTGCACACTGTACATTGTTATTAGAAGTGGCCAAAAATGTTTGAGACAATAAAAATTATGGAAAATTTTTGTACTCCCTTACTCCTGCAAAATGGCAAAATGTAAGGATGCTGGAAAAAATTAAAAAATTAATTACATCTTTCTTGCCTGCTGTATTTAATGAAAGATGTTTGAAAGAAAGACTGCTTCCCAAATTATATATATATATATATATATATATATATATGCATGCAATGTTACATTTAAAAGTTTTACAGTAAAATCAAGAACCAACCATCAAATGATTAAAATGAAATCAATTCCATCCTCCCACCCCTCATATCAAAGTTCTATTGAAATGGATACAAATTGTACTGCATGCTCAATTTTACCACTAAACTCTAAGATCCCAAAAACAACATTTACAATATATGTGACTGTAGAATATTGAGTATTCAAATGAAATTTCAACAGAGTAATTGTTTATACTGTATGCATATATATATAAGTAGTAGTAGGCATCCTTTTATCTTGCTAGATAAAGGTAGCACTCTGTTTGATCAAAATTCAGTCCTTTGGTGGTGATATGGGGTACAGCAGTACTATACAGAAGCTGTGTGCTGCCCAGACTACATCATGTCCCACCCATATCTTGGCTATACTGACAAGATTTAAAGGAATACAGAACATTACATTTGGGGCCATCTTGGCTGCAGGAATTGCCAGAAAGTTATCAGTGTTCATAGCAAACTGCCTTCAGGGCTCAACTCTGGGTTTTCTATCTGGACTTACTTCCATAGCCTATTCCATGTTTGCCTGTGACCACAAGGCAACGGACATTTAAAATCAGTGTTTTCCTTCCACTAGATGGACTGACTTCTTCAGCTGTCAAGCTCTATCAACCTGAAGCAGTTGATTATGAGGTGCCAGTTGTTAGACTTCACCCATTCTCTGACTTGGACTAAGATTTAGTTGTCAATGGCTATTTGAAACCCATACCATAGAAGCATTTTATAGACAGTGAGAGTTTGTCACCCACAATCACCCGCAGCTTTGAAAACTTTTAGAACATATATAATGTACACTAATTTTTGATGAGCTTCTAAAAAGGTGTGTGTGTGTATATATCTATATCTATATATATATATATATATATATATATATATACACATAAATAAATAAATAATATAATTATAATCATTTTTTTAAAAATATGATTCCATCTCTACATAGGAATTGCCATGTTTCAAAAACAGAAGCTAAAAACTTCAAATTCAATTATAGAAATTAAAGTATTAATTTAATTTCTATAATTGAATTTGAAGTTTTTAGCTTCTGTTTTTGAAACATGGCAATTCCTATGTAGCAATGGAATCATATTTAAAAAAATGATTATAATATAGGCTCTACTTGTGTATTGAGCACTGTTTTTTAAAAATAAAAATACTAAAGAACTTTGGATTATTAACCTAACAGCTCTTTCCTAGATTTCAATATATTTGTGTGCACACACACATATATATATATATATATACGTGTGTGTGTGTGCACACACACAACACAAAGAAATATATTGTAAATACTTTCAAGCTCCACAATACCCTAACTATTTCAATGTGAAACAAAAGGCTGATAAAATATTTAAAAATTGAAAAGCATTCCTTTCTGACTCACCAACTCAATTACATCTAAAAACAATAAATAATAAGCTAAAACTTGAAGTAGGAATTTACTCTATTACCTGTAATAATTGCCACAAGGAATACATTGGCGAAACCTTAAGGAATTTAAATAAAGGATTATATTAACACAATAGGTATCTTTTGCAAAACACATTGATGGTCACTGTAATGAAACTGACCACAATTTTGATTTTAAAAAATGCTATTCTAATTAAAAGAAAAAACAATTTACTAAGATGAAAATGTTTAAAAAGTGCTTTCTTTAATCACTAGATCATCCACAGTTAAGTTGCATCCAGATTCTTACATTTCACCATCCTTGGCTGATCTTCTATTATCACAATGTGGGATATTTAATAACAAGAGTGATGGAAACAAACAAAAAGAATCTTAATGAAACTGGCTAGATTATATACCCAAAGCACATATAATAAAAAAATAGAATAAAAATGAATTATTTCTAAATTTAAAATTCTCAGTGTCTCTCATTCATGCCCATGTGTAAACATAGCAACATAAACATAAATTTAGTCCAGTGAAATCCTTAAGTATGAGATGCGTCACAAAAAAACTTTGTTGTACTTCTTTCACCTAAAATTGTTCTTGATATATAAAAAATTTATGCATTGTTATTCCATATACGCCAATCATATACAACTCATTTTCAGGTGTTAATTTTAAAAAGTTTTTTTTAAAAACATTAATGGATAATACAAAGTAAGCCTGAAATAATGAGGCAGTTAAAACTTGTGCTCACCCCCATCCCAATAATAATTCTCCATTACTCCTGACTTGATATCAAAGAAGAAAATATTTGACTCATTCACCTCATCTTTTTTCAGAACATAGCATTCTTCTTCTTTTGCTGGGCAGGAGACAGATTCATTTTTTTTAAACAAGTCATCCAAACATGGGGTACATATTCGATGTCCACATCGTGTCTGGAGGGGTCCAATCAAAACTTGTTTGCAATACACACAAATGTAGGTATTATCAACTGATACAAATTCTGGACGCTGCATGGTAAGAGTTGAAGTAGACATGAAAAAATCCTCTAAAAGAAAAAGAGATTTTAAGATTAAAATTATATTACATTACACATAAACACACTTGCATTAATGTATACAGAAATGTATGCGTATAAGTGTCAAAAATAATCAACAAGGTTTAAAAACTTTAAAACGTCAAAGCTTCTTGGACTGTCCTGTTCTCAATATATTTACAATGTAGACAAAAGAACTAATGATGTAACCAGAACAAATATAAAAAAAAAAATTCATACTTGATGTACTCTTGGGGTATCATTTTTTTTTTTATTAAAAAGACATTTAAGTTGACTATGATTTTATTGTCAACTAATTGATATTTGCCTCTGAATATGGATATTATTTATTTTTCTCCTCTAAAGACAAGTTAATAATTTATAAATAGTCAACTGAAGCTGAAATTTGGGCTTAAAAAATTTATGACTATATGAAAGGTGAAATTTGTTTTAAAACTGTCACTAGTATAAATATGGAACATTTTGAAATAATTAAAAATTAATAAATCAGCATTGAAAAATTCAAATGAATTATGGTCAACAAAATTTTTTTGACATATTAGGCAAGACTGTTTCTGGGATATATTTAGGATGCTGAATTCAAGAACATTGGTTTTGTTCAATTGACTCTAGTTTTTAAAATATTGTTGAAATGCATTTTTCGTGTCTGTGAATCTGTATACAATGATACCAATTGGATTACTGTTTTACTGGTGCATTTCAACAAAACCACATTTATTATGCTATTTAGGCTATTAATTGGTAATCAATGTTGAATAAATGTATTACTTTTATTTAAGTTTTCTGATTGTATATGAATAATTAAAATGTGATATTACAGCATGCTATTATTTCAACAATGAAGAGAGAACATTTTGCAGTAGTATCTTCATGTATTACAAGAGATTAATGAAAAATTATAAAATAAAAATGTGATTTTTAATCAAATTTCACACTAAAAATAAACTAGCAAAATATGTAATTTCAGCTATTCAACATAATATTTTACCAGTTCAATATCACAAACTGTCCACATCACTGTACTTCATCTGAAAGAAGCCTCTCTTATAACTTCCTTTTGCAAGTTTTCTGAGTGCAATCACACATAAGGCTCCAGTAGTAATTGGACATCATGTGGGTGTTCCATAGTCTTGATGTCTTGGTGGAAACACTCTGTTCTTCACTTACATCACTAATGTTTTTGGGAAATCTGTCTAAATGTTTAAACAGGTAGTGGATTTTGATACTCATTCTTGTTCATGTTGTTGCAAAACACAAAGTTGTTATCTTCACTAAAATAATGAACAAGTTCTTTGTCTGTTACAGTAAAATGTAAAAGCAAAGGGAAAAAAATCAAGAGCAGTCTAGCATTACCTCAATGGAATATTACAGCCTTTCTCTTAACCATTTCAAAACACTTTTTATTGATTAGTCTTTGGCTGTCAAGAAGTAGCTTATCATAGAGGACTCTTCAAGTCCTGCCATATACACAGGTTCACCTTTTCATCAAGACTGGCCTTTGGTATTGTGAGTGGTGGTTCATTTTGCTTGCCTCACAATTTCTTAGGTTCCATATTGTTATAATGTATCCATTTTTCATTGTTGATCACAATTTGCAAAAAAAAATAAATAAAAAGAAAATTTTTTCATTATACTTACATAATCAATTGTATGTGGAAATATGGTCCAGTAGGTTCTTTTCTGTTCAAGTTATGTGGAAGCTAACATATCCAAGTTGATAAAATTATTTTTAATGCTTGATTTGCATATTTTGAGAATAATGGCTATTCCTTTGGTTGTATACTATTAATTATCCTCATGTAATGTCAATTTGGTTGCTATCAGCCTCAACTTGTCTATCACATGGTGAAGCAATGTTCAGCATGAAATCCCCAGGATAAAACTTTACAAACTACTTTTGACGTGCTTGGTCATTCAAAGTACCTTATCCATAAATTGCACAGATCTTTTTTTCACACACCAGTTGCATTTTTACCTTTCTTAAGAGAATAATGCAGAAAATATTGCTTATTTTCTTTGATCTTCCATGTTGGAATCAATAAAAAAAAAAAAAAAAAAAAAAAAGGCAAATTTTGATAATTTAAAAAAAAAATGTAAATAAATGCACACTGATAAGGCAGCTGTTGCTGTTCAAACTAAACATTCCTGATGTAATCAAATCAAAAATAATGTTTTGGGTAACCTAATAAATGAATAAAAATGATAAATTCATTCAATTTGCCAACAACAATCAGGTTTTATACACCTTTTTTATAATTATCATACATATAAAAGTGAATATGCAAATAAAAAAATAGACTACTTCTAAAAATAAATCCAAAACAAATAAAAAATTATCATATTTACTTGAGTAGAATATATGGATTCTACTGCCAGACCTAGGGAATGAATTCATAATCCTAAAACAAACGGCAACACTTAATCGAAACAAAGTTAATCTTAGTAAATAAGTATTACTATCCTATGAGAAGAACATGTTACAGAAGAGCAATTGCGTTTGAAAAGATTTGAGTTTTTGGAGGTTGTTTTTCTATTTTTTTTTTTCACCAGTTGGTTTGCTAGCCTAAAAAATACTTTCTTTGAGATGGAAAAGAATAATTTCTTTTCAGCTATGATTTCAATACATTGTTTATCATTCATATTGTAACCCACTGAAAGTGGGAATATTTTGTTTTACTCAACTTTTACCAACTCATCAGCCAGTTCCAAGTGATTATTCAAATCATTCATGCATTCTCAGAAAAGCACAAAATTATGGCAAAATAATGTGTGCACATATATAAGCATGAGAAGTTACAAAATTCAAGAGTAGTTATTCACCTTCACCCAAGGCTAAAATATAGCATGTTTCCCCTCCCCATTCTTTTTTTTTTTTTTTGTAACATTTTGTTTTGATAGAATATAGACAACTTTATTATACTGTTTTACATTTCACTCCTCTTTATGTCAACATGTCTTGAATATTGATGATGGATGAGATTTTTAGCTAAAGCTATAGTCCATTGATTGTGACATTTGCATTAATCATTGTATTTAATAATTGGATATGGAATTTTACTTATTGTATTGCAACTGCTAATGCGATATATTCCGTTTTGCATATTGACAATACTACCATAGTTGTTTTCTTGCATTCCAAGAAATAATAGAACTGTTTGATGATAATTGAAAACTATATCCTATGATAGTGCACCAATACTTTGACTTTCTCCAATTAGCATCACAAAAGCCTCTTAAACTTAAGGGTTTATTAGATTTATTAAATACTAGAGAATGTGTTGTGCCTTTTAAATAGCATAGACCTTGTTTGGTTCTTATCAAGGGATTCATGGTCGATTTTGTTGAATAATGTGATAATTTTGTCATAGTATAGCATATACCTGAACAAGTTACAGTCATAACATATCAGGCTACAAACTTTTTCTCAGTAATATTTTTCATCTACTAGTTCAGTATTGATTTCGTCCAATATAATGATATTCATTTCACAAGGAGATGAACAGGATTTACAATCTTGCATTCCAAATTTGGTTAGAATATTATGATTGGCTCATTTCAATTAAATTTTTCTTTAAATGTGAATTGTATAACTAGAAGGAAAGAATTTGCCAGAGTTCAGTAATTCTGAATTGTTCATTTAAGCATTTTTTTTATATGGAATATTTTTTGTGTAAATGTAGAAGTCTGCTAAGGAGTGGGTGAAATTCTAGCAGTTAAAACATTACATTTTCTATTGCTTTGTTTAAATCCGTATAAAGACTTAAAAAAAAAAAAAAAAAAAAAAATTGCCATATCAGTTTTCATTGTTTTTGCCTGTAATGAGATAGACTTTTGGCTGTTCTACATACACCTCTTAGTCAATAGGGTCATTTAAGTATACAGGTTTTACATGTTTGGTAGACAGACAAATTGTGTTGAATATCTAATTTTATTCAAGTCCTTACAGATGATAATCATGTAGTGGGAGAAAATGTTTCATTATAATCTATTCCAAGGATTTGCGAATAACCTTTTTGTAACAAACCAAGCAATTTTTAGTTTTACCTTTTGAGAGTGTAGTTAATTCATGTATCATTCATTTTTAAAGTGTTTATTTCACTTTTGATGATCACATGCCATTTTATAGTCATCTGAAGTAATAGCATCAACATAACTATTGATTATATATTTTACAGAACAGCAATAGTCTATACTGGGATTTTTGTGTAATTTTTGGATTCTCATATTTAACAACGTAGAAGTGACCCTCAAAATCTATGCCAACACACTGAGAAACCGAGTAACCTGTGTCGGCCTTAGAAAGGAAAAGAAACTGAACAAGAACACCAAAGATGCCAATGGACAGAGCTGCCTCCCCCAGCAGTAAGTTTTCCTCCAAAAGTAAATCAGCTACTGTTACAACTCCTATTTCTTCACAAAAAAAGAAGAGAAAAAAAAGGACATGCCCAGAACAGAAATAATCTCCCCAACTCAATCCGACACCTCTCCTATTCCAGAATCATCTTCCTCTCATAAAAAATTTCCCTTCTCCTTTACCCTGTCCAATGCCCAAGCCTCTGCCACATCCATCCTCAACTCAGACACCACAGACCATCACCAAGAGACCCTGTAACTCTTCACTCAGAAGAGCTTCCTCACAAAAAGCATTCTGAAGTCAAAAAGAAATATCATTTCAGGGAAAACATTTGCCATGTTGACCCAGACATATTGGATAAGAAAAGTTTGCAGTCCCAACACTTGAAAGACTTAAGTCTCCTCCAAAACTTTAATTAGGTGGAAAACAAAAGCATGGAGAACACTAGGAATTTCCCCTCATCCCCAGAGAATTTTGATTGTTGTGTTGGGTCGAGCACATGGCAAATATGGTCTATGCTAGAGGAAGCAAATATTGGGTTTGAAATAAAGTCTCCACACATCTTTTTATATATATGTTTATTTGTTGATATATATATATATATATATATATATATATATATGCAATATCTTTCATT